CTTGATCCACACTAGGGGGCAAGTGTATCTACAAGTTCGTTCAGTGTATATGCAGCGTGGCCTGGAACATGCAACCATGTTATCGCAGTGCGCACTCGCGCGAGCTTTGCATGTGAATCCAACAGGATCGGCAACGCGCCGCAGGACCTGTGCACCACACCTCCTGCAGCAGCTTCTGCCGCCATCATGTTATCCGAACCAGCAATAATGCACCTCGAGCGATATATCGAAGATGCCTGAAGCAGCCAACAGGCAAACCAAAGAGCAGCATGAAACTCGTCGGGGCTCGGCGGGCTCACGTTATCTTCTTTCAGTGATGGGGCAGATCGGGCCATGTAACCACCCATCCGATGTTTGCCGTCCTGCGTCACACCACGCACAGCAAACGCCCGTGATGGTGGCCCCTGCATGTCCGCACTGTCTGACCCTCCCGATCCGTCTGTGTACACTGCAAAATGATCCATGTCATCGTCGTGCAAATCAGTCGGGCAGGCATGCTGCGCCAGGAAATCAACGGTAATAGAATGGAGACAATGGTGAAAGAGACATAGCACAGCATGTTGCGTGGAAGGCGGCGCCACGAAAATGGGAGAGAGCACTGCGTCTTGCCATTGGGCCGCGAGCAGCGCTGCTAAGATGCCGCAGTCGGGAACTGGCCTGACGGGAGGCATGTCAGAAAAAAGAGACGGGGCTGGGCGCCCCGGCAAAGCCGCGGCGCTCGAAACCCACGCGGGCGGATCCCTACTGGCGCCTAGCGGCTCTGCAGGCTGGCTCACCCCTTCTTCGACGGGCTCGCCTGCGTCGCTGCAATATCGTCATCGGAACTCTGGCCAGCGCGAACCTCGTCCGCGTCCGCGCGGCGCGGGCTGCGTTCACGGCTCCCGCCGCCTGCTGGATCATCTCGCCCCGCCGGTTCGGGTCGCCCCTCCCCCGGCACCGCGCGTGGAAGCGCGCCTCCTGGAGCCGTGACAGCACTCGACGCTGCGATGGCTCTCTATAGGGTGGGCTGCTCAGCAGCGGCCAAGCCCTGGGCCTGCAGGGCTGCCTTCTCGTCCACTGCCGCCGTCGCACGAGCCTCGGCAGCAGCGCGAGCGCGCGCCCGGCGAGCGGCCACGGGCTCGCCGGACGCAATCTGACTGGCATCGGCTGTGGCGTTCTCATCCATGTCTGCATCCGCTGCGCCAATCGCTTCCTGCGCCTGGAGCTGCTCTGCCGTCGTGGCAGGACATGCCGCGACCGGGGGGGGGTGCAGCAGCAGCCTGCGGCACTGCTGCGGCGCGTTGCGTGGGCGATGCAGCCTGGGCAGGATTGGCAGCCGCTGGCTGCGCAGCTGGAGCCGTCGTGGCCGTAGCCGCCGCCATACTCGCTGCTGCCCTGATCTGCGTCAGCGCCGACTGCAGTCCGCCCAGTACCGTTGCCAGCCCCGCGATCTGCTGCGCCATGCTCACCTGGCCCTGCTGGAGCTCGGCGATGGCTGCAACCGAGGCACCTGACATCTGGCTAGGCGCGTTCGCCACGGGCGTGGTGGGCGCCGCGTCCTCCACCACGGGCGTTGCGGCGCCCTGCATCTCGACGTCATTGGCGGCAGCTGGCTGCGGGGAGAGGGTCTCGAGCTGTTGAAGCAAGACCTGCGCGCGAGTCAGCTCGTTGGCACGATGCTGCTGGACCAGCTGGCGAGCCTCGTGCTCAATCATGGCCTCGTGCGCCGCCTTCTCTGCACGATCGGAGCGGCGTTGGGCGCGCTTGACGAACGCCCGCTGCCTCGCCAAGCGCACCTCCGGGGTCCTGGCCACGATGATCATTGTCATGGGGGCCGAGTATCCCTGCTCCTGTGCCTCAAGGATGCTGGTCGGCAGGCCGAGCTCGCGGGGCGCGCGAAGCATTTTTGCCGACGCCACCGCCATGCGGCGGAGGTTGCGTCTGTGGTTGACCAAGGCGGCGGGATCCGTCGGTGGCTGCACCCAGGCTGGGTGCGCACGCGCCTGCCTTCGCATTACAGGGAGCACGCCGAAAGCCTCCTGCGGGCCTGCTGGACGGTCCGCCGTCTCCTCGGTCGACTCAGGCTCACTCTCGTCGAACGTGACGTCGATGGCTGGCGAGCGCCGACGGGATGACCTGCGTCGGGGGGGCACCTCTGGGGCTGGCTCCTCCGCAGGCTCGCCATCTCGCTGCTGGGGATGGGCGGGCGGCGGAGCACGGCTCGGGCTGCGCTGACGACTGGGCTGAGCGCTGCTGTGCGCTGGCCTTGAAGCACGCCTCCGCCGCCGCTGGTCACGCCCACTTCCTCCGAGCTGATCTCGCCCGCTGCCCGCTGCTGCTGCTGCGGCTGCTGCTGCTGCTGGTGCTGCGGCTGATCTCGGAACACGCTGAACGCCGCGGGACTCTGCTGCGGCAGCGGGTAGCAGGTCCTGCACATCAGGTCGCTGGCAGCATTTGCGTGCCCGCATGCTGGACACCATCACGGGGGCGGCGGCGGGGACGGCGGGAACTGACCGCCGCCCTTGCCTCCGCCCTTGCCTCTGGACTGCCACGCCATCACGCTGCTGTGGTGCGTCGCCAAGCACCTTGCCGCACTCGCTATGCGAAAAACAAATCGAGATTGAGCGCGCTGAGCACGAGCACGCCTGTGCCAGGCCGGCTCGTTGCCGCCGCCGCTAGGCCGCGGGCGTGAGCGGGGGCCGCGGGAAACCCGCGGCGTGCCGCCAGCAACGGGGCGCCAGGCGCGAGAGCCGCCAGGCGCGCCAGGAACAGCGCGAGGCGCGGCGGGGCCCCGACCGCCCGATGCGCGGGCGCGGGCCAGCGCGCGAGGCTGCCAGCCCCGAGAGAGGTTCGCTGTACCTGGTACAGCGCCCGAAACCTCTCGAACCGGGGCGGCAGCTAAGAGGCAGGAGGCAGAGAGGAGGAGGAGGAGGAGGAGGAGGAGGAGGAGGAGGAGGAGGAGGAGGAGGAGGAGGAGGAGTAGGAGGAGGAGGAGGAGGAGGAGGAAGGAGGGAAGGAGTGGAGACCGCAGTGAACAACGAGAGCCCAGCGCAGAAGGGTTGGCAAATATTTGCACCGCGTTTGGGCGGCCACTTGCCAAGAAGTGGTGGACAACCCTGAAATGGGATACGGCAGGTTCGTGCCGTGCCGACTTCGACGCTGGTTCCTGACACCACGGGGGTCGTTCAACCTTGAACGGTGAGCTGTTTTCAAAACCTGGGTCCCCAGCGGCGTTCAACGTGAAACGCGGGCGGCAAAGTCACCGACGCGGTCGACACGACGCGAACCTACCGCAGTGGACATGGTCCTGGCCCCCGAGAGGAGCAAGATGAGAGGCGGGACGGCCTTCGGGGGAGGTCGCAGCGAGACGGCGACCGCGGTAGAGCGCCCAGCGCTGAGACGAAGCCAGGGCGAGGATAAAATCGGGTGAGGATAAATGGGATACCACTGAGATCTGGCGGTTTGGGGGGATGTCTCGGGCGCCTCGGCCCTCTCCGAGCGTTCCCAAACGCTCTGAGAATATTCCGGAATGCTCTGAAACGAGTTCATCCAAGTCCTAGCCAAGTCCGAGCTTTGGCGACGGTGTAGTCGTGCAAGGGTCGGGCTCGCAGACATGTGTTGTGCGTTCTGAGAAGGACGTGCAACTCCCGAAGAGAGTTCTCGTGTCAAACCGTGTTCTGCGTTGGCACACCGCGTGCACCGACCAAATCAGAGTCCCATCGCTCTTCTTCGTGCGTGTCTCGTCTACAGCGGGTGGGAGCCGGAAGCTGGGCGCGCGTCTGCAGGACCATGGTGCCGCTGCAGCGAGGTCTTGAACGTCTTCGTCTGTTGGCCAGTGCCTTCAGAAGCAACTCCTCGGAATTCTTCGCGAGAGCGATGAAGGGGTGCGAGGTCCGACTGAATGTCCATACGCGTCCACTAAGCCGCATTAGTTTGGATATGGCGACGGGCTGAGACGAGATGGGCGAGATTAACGCGGATCAAGCAGGACCCACCTGGATTGGGCTAGTTTTTCTAGAAGAAGAAAACGCCATGAACATAAACTTTTGGCGCTCCACGCGGATTTCTTGGATCTGCGCTGGCCCCACCTCCCTGGCGCGCGGAGCGCGCCGGTGGCGGCGCCGGAGGCGCCGCCAGGGGGGGCCAGCGCGGATCCAAGAAATCCGCGCGGAGTGCAAACAGTTTTATGTTTATTGTGAAATATGTCTCCTTCGATTTCCAATTCTCGGCCACGGCTATACCAGCGGAGATGCTCACGTAACCTCCCAAGAGTTCCGTCATAAAGATCCGCTGCCCCGTGTGCCAGCGGACTTCGAGGACCTCACCAGCTGGTCGGCGCCGACGTGGCGCGATGGTCCGACCAGGCCTCGCACGCAAGAAGAGGGAGGCCACGCACGCAAGAGGAGGGGCGCCGCAGTCGTTGGAAGAAGAAAAATGGCCATAAACATGAACTTTTGCCGCTTCGCGCGGATTTCTTGGATCTGCGCTGGAACCTTTTCACGGGCGCGCGGAGCGCGCCAGAGGCGGCGCCGGAGGCGCCGCTGGGGGGGCCCAGCGCAAATCCAAGACATTAGCGCGGAGCGCCAAAAAATGAATGTTTATGACGTGCTTTCTTCTTCGAGTCGTGGGCGCTCCGCTCGGGATGAGGGACGGCGTGGAGGCGGCATCCTCGGCAGTACGAGTGGGATCAGCGGGCCAGATGGCCGCTCACGGGGCGAGGCCGAGGAGGGGAACCTGGGTCGAGAGCGGACCCGGAAGTGGGAGCCAGCGAAGAGGGAGGAGCATCCTTTGCCTGCTCTGCTCGAGATCCATACTTGGTCAGCCCAACAAGCGCTGGCTGGTCGCAAGCCCTAGCTACAGAGACACAGAACAAACATGCACGCCCCAGCTGCGTCCATGCGATCGCACCGAGCCATGCTGACAGAAACCTCGTCGTCAGTCGTTCGTTGGCCAGTTGGTCGGTGGTTCCATACCCTTGTTTGTCAAAATGGAGACGCGGGCGCGAGCAGCGGCAGGCGGTCCATGTAGACATGGTGTATCTTGTCCTTGCCAGCCCAGACCACCCCGTTGTAGTCGTACGGCCTAGCGCCAACAGCTCGAGAAGCTCCGCACTGCCCCCCCCTCTCCCGCGCGTCTTCACTGCACCTGCGCGCCTGTCCTGGCACTCCCCTCCTCCTCATCCTCCCCGCTCTTCTTTCTCGATCCTCATTCTAAGTTGCCCCTTATCCTCCTCATCTGTATTCCGCTTCCTTCTTCCTCGTGCTCCTCGTGCTCCTCCTCTCGGTTCTTCTCCTCCTCCATCCTTCGATGAAGCATGGAGGAGGAGGAGACGGAGGAAAAGGAATCAACATGGAGGAGGAGGATGGCGTGCGAGCAAGCGGCAGAAATGGGATGAAACATGATTATCTTCCTCATCCATCTCCCTCGTTCGCTCGCCGAGGGCATTGGATCCACGACTGGTGCCACCCTGCCTCCTACATCTGCTCCTCCATCCCTATAATCCTACATCCCCATCTTCTTCCATCACTCTTCCTCCTCCCTTCCTTCTCTTCGCTACCTCTCTTCGTCCTCCATCGTCCCATCTCCTCCATCCTCATCCATCCGCATCTCTCTTCTCATTATGCTTGTGTTCCGCCCCTCCACCTCCTCTTTCTGTGAGATGGGCAGATCTATCTTTAAATCGGGCATGTCCCCCTACAGGCGGATGCTGGACGGAAACACACACACACACACACACACACACTTCAAACATCTACCAACATAGGCAAACATGGTCAACAGGTCGTACCCATACGTTGTTTGACTATTTCTGAACATTCCTCCTGTAGAGGAACAGGCCCGACTTACATCTATCTCCGACGCCAGCACCGACGAGGCAGATGCGAACCCGAGACCAGACACAGCCGCCAAGACTGGCGCCAGCGCGCGCCCTTTTGCGAGCCTGCGCGTGGCCCAGATCCAGACATCGGGCGCCCCACTATTCGAGGACGAGGACCAAGGAGGGAGGAGGAGGAGGAGGAGGAGGAAGAGAAGGAGGACGAGGAGGGGGACGAGGACGAGGTGGACGTGGGGGAAGAGGAAAATGAGGAGGACGAGGAGGAAACTGAGGAGGACGAGGAGGAGCAGGAGGAGGAGGAGGACGAGGACGAGGAGGAGGAGGACGAGGATGAGGATGAGGAGGAGGATGAGGAGGAGGATGAGGAGGAGGAGGAGGATGCGTGGGCCCCCCCGGACGCGGGGACATCCAAGAGGGGGGCGTTCAAGCGAGGGGGTAGCAACTCCGCCGACCCCCTGGGTCATCGGCGTGTGAGATGCTTCCCCCTCCCCAAACCCCTCCCCGGGGAACCCGGTCCGGTCGATTTGGAGGGGGGGGGGGGGCACCACGAGCGACTCACGACGCTCTTCCGGGCCCAAATAAGCCCAAATACGGGCCAAAAAGGCCCCAAGAGGCCTCCCAGACGTTCCAAGAGGCCCCCAGACGCCCCAAGAGACCGCCTAGACGCCCTAAGAAGCGCCCAAGAGGCCCCAAAAGGCTTCCAAGACGCCCCACGAGGGCTCCAAGACGCCCGAAGAGACCTCCAAAACGCCCCAAGAGTCTTACCTCCAAGAGGCCCCCGAGGAGCGCCCCAAGAGGCCAAAATCGTTGATTTTCATTGGTTTTTTTTTAAAAATGTTTTCGTCATTTTCGCCTTTTCGGCCTTCCGACGCTCCAAGACAGCCCAAGAAGCTCCCAAGACTGCTCCAAGACGGCACAAGAGGCCTCCTCGACTCCCCCAAGACGGCCCAAGAGAGCCCCCAGACGGCCCAAGAGCCGCCCGAGGCGGCCCAAGAGAGCCCCCAGACGGCTCAAGAGCCGCCCAAGACGGCCCAAGAACCTCCCGGAGACGGGCCCAAGAGGGGCTCCAGAGAGAGACCACGCACCGGAAAACCCAGCCTTACGTCCCAAGAGGCCCCCAGGAGGCCCCCAGAGGCCCCAAAGAGGCCCCAATAACCCCCCAAGAGGCCCCCAAGACGTTCCAAGAGGCGCCCAAGAAGCCACAAAGAGGTCCCAAAACGGCCCCCAAAAGCCTTCGAAACTGCTCCAAGAGGCCCGCAAGAAGCCCCCCCGCAAGATCCCAACGGACATCCCTGAACACACCGGTTTTTCGAGTCGCGCCCAGCCCCATAACCTGGAGCCTCATCTCAGTGTCCCCGTCCTCCTCCTCTTCCTCCTCCTCCCCCTACACTTCCTCATCGTTCCCCTCCTCCTCTTCCTGCCCCGCTTCAGCTCATCCTCACCGATGCTTATCCCCCCCATTTTCCGCCTCACCCCCCATCCTCCTCTTCCCGTCCTCCCTTTCTGCCCAGTACGCGCAACCGATTGGGCATCATTTGCACGTCTTGCACTTTAGGGTGCCCTTCTTTGCGTCGCGCGGGACATTGTGAGGGTCGGGGAACGCCGACTTTGGTAGTCCTCTCTTGCACGCGCCGCTGCACTGATAAGCCTGGCAACTGCGCGCTGTGAACCCGAGTTCCTCGCAGCTTCTGCACACCAGTTTAGCTCCTTTCGCCGCTCGATGATGTTCCACTTGCTTCTGCTTCAAATGTTTCGTGTCCGAGAACGCGCCTTTGCACGCCGCGCACGTCAGCGGCTTCGCGTCCGCCTCTGCTTTCCGCTTGCGATTCTCTGCGTCCGCCTTCTCGTTCCGCCCACCCTTCTCGTTGCGGGCGCACGCCCTGCAAAGCCTCTCCCCCGCATCTTTCGAGTCGTACTGGTTCGCCGCCACTTCCGCCTCCGTCTTCAAGAAATTCTTGCACCTCGCGCACCGAATCTGGACTTTCTCCTGAATCTGAGAGGCCTCTGAACCACAACTCAGGCACGGTGGCGGGATGGGCCGACTATTGGGAGGAGGAGCAAAGACGACGACGAAAGGAATGCGGGGGATAAAGTCGGGCCATGACGCCCCCAAGACGTCCAATATTGCCTCCAAAAAGAACAAGGGGTCGGCGGTGTGGCGTAAGCCTAAAGAATCTGAATTGCACCCCAAAAGAGTGTAGCCGCTAGCTCTAGATGGCGCCACATCGAGTGCACACAGAACTTGTGAGAACCCACTGCTTGGAGTCCTCACGCGCTGTAGATGCCGCGCTGTTCCACATCCAACTGCCCCGACGCACCTCGTAAAAGGCCACAACCACCAGAAGCGTAAAACCACTGGTGGCACTGGACAGCGATACGACGAGGAGCGAAGACGCAGTACCTGAAGCGTGCAGGGCGCCACGTCGAAGCCACGCAACGGCCACAAAAGGAACAACTGGATCACTGGCAGCGGGCGCTGCGTGTTTTCCATCTGAACGTCATGCGTCTGGGGTACCTGCGATCCCCTGGAGCGAAAAAACACGTGGTGACACATCAAATGATCCTGATGTGGGAAGGCTTGGCGACTCCCTTCGGCCTGGCCTACAGAAGCCAGAACCATCATGCCGTACAGAGCCAGGAGGCAAACTAACGTCTGTGTCTGTTGGGCTCGGAACGCAGAGATGGGCAGCGGAACCCTCCACCGCAAAAAAATCGATCGGAGACATCTACCATGGCATGGCAGAGACCTCGCGCTCCACAACTCTAGGTATTCGGGCGCAGCAGCGGACCGCATGCCCCCATTCCTCTCCCGCATTGACGATGAGGGCTCTGAAAGGCCAGCGCGCCAACAAATGAACGCACGTGCCTCGTAAATTGCGCAGTCAAGTGGCGGCGCGGGAGTCAACACATCATGAATTGCCTTGTCCAGCGGATCTCTCGACCGACCTGGCTGCGCGGGAGCGGCCGGCGACTCCACGGCTGCGGCTCTTCTGAGCCGAACGGGCCGCGGGGCATAGCCACGGACTGGGATACGGCGGGGGTCTTCATGGGTCTTGCACGTAGGTCACGGCGAGCCTCACGTTCGCATTGGCCGTGCGCCTCAGGGCCCGCATCGTCTCGGAGTACACTTCGGTCACCGCCTCCGCGATGCGTAGTTCGGCATCTATCAAGGCATGGCGACACACACCCGCGTCCGGCGGCAGGCTCATCAACACGCGCTCGCAACGCCTGGTAATCTCCAGCTGGGACTCTTCCACGGCCTGGCCAACCGCCTGCCCAACGATCTGCTCCAGCTTCTCGGGAATGGTCCACAATCGCCTCACCAGCTCTTGGCCATCAGGGGTAGTGGTCTTGAGCATCTGCACGATGGCGCTCCGCTTCAGCTGCATCGCCAGTCGCATCTCGCCGTTCGCCTCCATGACCTTCGACTGAAACGACCTCCTGATGATCTCTGGGATTTTGCCCACATGATCGATGGCCGCATCGACGCCATCCTCGCCCCCACCCCTGCTGCGAATGGCCTGTTGCACCAAGGCCAGCTCGGTCTTCACGCTCTCGGCAAGGCTCTTAGCCTTGTTCTGCACCACTCGGCCCAGCTGCTCGGGGACATCGTCGATTGCCTCCGCGGCGGCGGACAAGCGCCACTTCTCGAGGCTGTAGCTCGTGGTCTCCTCCTGGCCGTTCGATGCCCAGGCCTCTCCCACGCGCGTCGATACCCAAGCCGTGCTGACGCGGTCGGCGTCGGAGAACGCGCTGCCGCTGGAAGAAGACTCGCTGCACGGCTCGCTGCTGGACCAGGAAAGACTGCGTGAGCCCTGGCGCTCGTCGTCGCACAACTCGATGAACGTGTCCCTTGTGGCCACGTCCCCGAGACCCTGCTTCGTGGGCGCTGTGGCGAAGACGTCACTCGGCATGGCCATCGTCTGGGCCCCGCGCGTGCTGCAGCCGCGAACGAAATCCTGCTCTTGAGCACAACTGGCTTGAGCCAAAATTTCTCGGATGGGGGCCTCCCGGGCCGTCTTGGGAGCCTCCTGGGCCGTCCCGGACGCTGCGAAAGCCGAAAAGGCGAATCCGCCGACCCCTTTAGAGTCTCTGGGCGTGTGAGTTTCTTCCCCCCCCCTATTATCCCCCCCTATTATCCCCCCCCCCCGCCTATTATCCTCCCCCTCCATAACCCCCCTTCCCCCGGGGCCCCCGAACCGGCAATTTGACCCCCCCCCCTCCCGGGCCTGGGACGGTCCGCCTC